TGACACTGACACTACTTCACACTTGTAGAAATCGTAGCAGCAGCTAGCAGCATTCAGAGTACCCCGGCCCGTGCTCGAGCTAGCTAGAAGTAGAACGAACAGAACAATGGCTTCCGGCGGGTCGTCGTCGTCGTCCCGCGCGTGGACGCAGCGGCAGAACAAGCAGTTCGAGTGCGCGCTGGCGGTGTACGACCGGGACACCCCTGACCGGTGGCACAACATCGCCCGCTACATGGGCGGCACCAAGTCCGCCGACGAGGTCCGCCGCCACTTCGAGCAGCTCGTCCACGACGTCACCCAGATCGAGGCCGGCCGCGTCCCCTTCCCCCGCAACGGCTACGGCAGCGCGCCGCCCGTCGCCGCCGGCGGCCTCGACGACATGGCCGCCACCAGGTACGCGACGTAGCCATCATCAACAACTTACTTTTGCTCGTCGCAGTTAGGTCGGCAGTTTGGTACGTAGGTGTTTGCACGTGGAAAGTGTGGACATGCATGACATGCACTACAGTAGAGCATATTCCACATGCATCCTATATCATCCTTTGCCGACATCTCCGTTGTCTGACACATAAGAAGAGCTAGCAAGCTACATTGACACATGCCCTCGCATGCATGCACCCAACGCATCTCTTAAGGCCTGTTTGCATGAGCTTGCGCTAATTACTAGTTAAACTAAAAATTAGCTCAACTTAACTTAGTTTGACTAGCTAGGTGGTTAACAACTACTTAGAAACTTGACTAAATTTTTTTCTATCTATTAGCCTACCTATTTAGATGCACTAGGACTAATTTTAGCTAATTTTTAGCTAGCTAGTAATTAGCTCTTGTATCAAACTGGTCCTTAATTACGTGTTTTATTGGATGCACCAGCAGGGGCAAGTCTATGAAGCTGCAGTGATGAAGACAAATGACGGCCGCCCGAGACGTACAAAATATGTATGACAGTTCCTTGCAACTGTTGGTGTAAACTTATAATATTACCGTACAATGGCTCTCCGAAAATAACCCTAGCTATATAGGGAAGAAGAAGGAGGAGGAGGCGAAGAATGGAAGAGAAGTATCATGTTTAATTTCACCCCTCCTGTATATATGATTTACAATTGTACATTAGTTAATTATTAGACTGACATTGATCGATCGATGGTCGGTCAATGCTTGTGAAATAATGTCCATGTATTACTAGCTCTATTTTAGCTAGCCATATCACAATCAATGTAAAGTGTGTTCATCAGCTTCTCCATTCGAGCACAAATACTTCCAAACACTGATTTATTGGGCACACCGCTTTTCATGAGAATAAACGTATTATCTCTCCAAAAATAATAAGAATAAACTTATCATGTACATATTCAATAGAGATTTATTATTACCACTACTCGGAAATATATATAATTCCATTCGAAACGACACTTTGACTAGCAGCATCTAGAAAATTATGCTCCAAGGGATCTCCTAATCTTCCATCAAATATTCTGCTTTTTTCGATGGCCTCGGGTGTTTTCAAATACCTATGGAGTTTTGTTTGTTTACCGGCTTCATATAATTATGAAAACACAAGTTTTCTTGAAGCCTCTTGCTCATGTCTCTCATCAAAGGTGTATTCTCTATAATATTTCTTTAGCAGTCCCTGTTCAAATCATATGTCATGCTTAAGCCGTAATCTAAATCAAAATTATTTAATTTTGACTAAATTTATAGAAAAATATATTAGTATTTACAGTATCAGAATAATTAGCTCTAAATTCTTCACATGAAATATGTTTTCATAGTGATTTATTTGAACTAGTAGCATGTCGTTGTGAAGTTAGACTTATTAGCACGAAGCTAAAATCACAAACGCAGATAGATTATGTTTATATTTTCGACATGGGATTTGAAACTAGGGGAGGATATCTTTATTTAAAAAACCCTTATGTATGATGTTTTCTCTTTCAAGATAAATAAATATTTGAAAAGATATAAGTATTGCTGCACAGTATGATGAAACTAGTCGGACTAAAAGCTGTCTGACCCTTTTGAAAACATGCATGTTTGAGCACGCACTACGACTTCGCTTCATATATATTAGCGCTTTAACACTAGCAGATATGTTTTTTTTTCGATTTATTTTTTTCCCGAGTACGTTTACTTTTCTAACGCATCTCATGTGAAGGATTCTCACTTCAACTTGCAAAAAGAATCAGATCGAGTGGTCACATCATCATCACATGTTCCAAGGATCGAGGCACTTTTTACAACAAGTGGGCCGGGGATAACAATGCAAGTTCGAATATGGTAAACTTTCGTTTTTGTTTTCGACCTATTTTGTTCGATCGAATAGCAGCAAGCGGTAATAATCGAGGATACGTACCTTTTTTTTCGACAATGAAAAATGGAAGACTTGCCTTTTTTCTCTCGAATAAACAAAAAAAATTGCGCATCTTTGTAATTATTAAGGTATAAATGTTTGGTACAAACAACGCGTTTCTGGCGAAGCACAAGAATTTTTTCACAGATTTTATATAAAACTCAAAATTAAATAATGAAGCCATATATTAAGAGTGATACTGAAAACTAGATGTAGCTTAAGTATCCGTGTTCTTTGATGTGGAACTTGCCCAACCAAGTTTGACTCATCGATTCAATACAAGTGCTCATATTTTTTAAGGGCACTATCAATGCATAAACTATTGGATGATTTTCATAGTCTACGAAACTATCCAAGGAAATCACATCTCTTACAATGCAGATTTTTTCGTGCGGGGCCCTTTCTTACCCCTTAACCAATCCGCTCTCCTCATCCAACTATTGGACGGATCTAGTAGCCCTCCACAATGTAGCATTCGTAGTTTCTTCCACCATCGATTCACGTGAAGACACAGTTCCTTGCTAAGAAACCGTTTCTTCAATTCTTACTCTCTCTCTTCAATAAAGTACATGACGCATCAGCAAAATGTCCATGTAGCAAGATAATTAATAGAGATAGAAACATGTTAGTTTATATGTATTAGGAGTGTCCTAACTACTTATTTTTTCGTCTGTAGACCGTAGACGACAATGCCTGTCGACGTTGCCTGCCTGATTAACAGGGTGGGTTGTGCTATGTTTTGAAAACAAAAACGATAATAAACTTTGTGCACATAATTTTATTTTATTTTGAATACAATGCTGCATATCGATAATATAATTCATAAAATTTAAAATCTGTTTTCTTGTGACTGAAAGTTCCACATGAAAACTGTTCACAAAAAAAGTTCCACATGAAACCCACCAGAAAGTTTAACTTCTACCAAATGACAAAATTAAGGAAATACTGCGCTGTGTAGACATTAAGGAAATACTATGTATATACACCTGAACCTAAGCAGCCACCACCAGCACTGTGTCAACTGTCAAGCACTAACCCATTTTCCAAAACAAACAAACAAACAAACTGTCAAGTAACCCGGTATTGTAGGTAAATAGGTTCGGGATGACTTGGTCAAAAGTTTATAGTGGATTCCTTCCCATTCTGAAACCTGAATCACTTTTGTTTAGAAACATCAGAATTGAATCTTTTTTTTTTTCTGACAGAGGTCCAAACCTAGTTCATATATTAGGTGTCAATCCGCAAGAAGGATGCATTAACTTTTGTTTTCATTGCATTGAGTACATGCACGCTCGATTGAGTCTATAATTTTATTATTTATTTACGCTAGATCATGACATTTTTTAGATAATGGATAGAAATCAGATCAAGACATATATAGCTACTTCTTTCTTCACATAATTCCTTTTATATTGTAGTATATGTTTCCTCATCATCAATATATATACGTAGAAGAGAATATACAGAGTTGAGAAAGGCGAGCCGTTGCCTTCAAACGTTCTTGAATCGAATCGCCTAAAGGGATGAACAGATCCGAATATCGGTTGTAGCACACACACTCACAGAGCAGGAATAATCAGCTTTAGTTTCTGGTGATTAAATTAGTCATTCACTAAAAGGTTGGAGCTAGATTGCTCGATATTATTCTCTTTGAAAAAGCAAGATATATACGCTCACCTATGGATCTTATTACCACACACTCTCTTTCTAGTGATGGAATCCAATCTTTCTTTGCAACTAGCTATTTGGAGACAGCGACTGAATGTTCTTGACCAAATAATTGTGCGTGTAAGCTGTAAGTTGTCAAGCATTTTCCGCAGTCTGTAATGTGTGCATGTTCCAACGAAAACCTATGATTTTAATTGTTGTGTTCGATCGATCTCCACATGCAGCGCCTCCTCCTGAATATTTTCACAGTGTGAGATAACCAGTGTATTTGGGTGCCTGAAAGAAGTAGGAAATAAGAACATACTCTATGCTTGGTACTAGCTAGGATTTCAGCTCCTTTCTTGTGTTAATTAACAACAGAACACCTTCATGAGTAGGAGTATTTCATTGATCATAAGAGAGTATGGAATAATTGGAGATTGCCACACATTCATGCCGGAGAAGCGATCGAGCTAGCTCTCAAGCTGTGAATATATGTTTGGTCAGGATCGGAGGAGGAGGAGACGACAGAAGAAGTAGAACAGATGCCAATCGCGACGTGACCGGAGAGGGGGATGCGATAGAAAGGTTCGGAGTAGATGAGATCCCCCACTCCCAGGGGACAGAAATCTTTGTTCCTTCCCAGCTGCTGCTCCTGCTGGTTCTCTTTAGCTTGCTCCTCTCTCGCCTCAACTGCAGTGTGTGCCCCCGTCGGCATTATTCCTTCCCTCCTCTTGTCTTTTCCTCCTAGTCGTCCTAGCTCCTCCTCCCCACCACCCTGATCGATGATGCGCCATGGTCCACCTCCCTCTCCATGACTCCCGTGAGGCCTCCCTTCCTCCCGCCACGGCCACTGCTGCTTCGATCTATAAATAGCAGCCCTTCCCACACCTCCTCCTCTCATCAGCTCAGCACACAGCATCTAGCTATAGCCTATAGCTAGCTAGCTTCCTCTCGACCCGAGCGAGCTCTAAGCTAGTGCATCGAAGAGAAGCAGCAGAGTGGGATGGCGTCGCTGTCGATGACGAGCGCCGCAGCGGCGCGCGCGCAGTGGACGCCGAGGCAGAACAAGCTGTTCGAGCAGGCGCTGGCGGTGTACGACAACGACACGCCGGACCGGTGGCACAACATCGCCCGCGCCGTCGGCGGCGGCAAGTCCGCCGAGGACGTCAGGCGCTACTACGACCTGCTGGAGCAGGACGTCGGCCGCATCGAGTCCGGCAAGGTGCCCTTCCCGGCCTACCGCTGCGCCACCGGCTACGGGGCCGCCTGACAGGTGTGTGGACGCAGTAGTTTGCTTAGCTGCCAGCTTGTATTAATTAGCCGTACCAGCTTGTAGCTTATGTTTTCATTCAGCACTGATGGAAATCTGTATATGTGCATGTACAGGCTGAAACATCTGAAGATGTAGGATGCGATGATGAACATAGGACGAACGATCGATGATCCAGAAGATGCAAACATGTGTGTATATATAGGATTAATGGGACAGCATGCATGCAACGGTCCATGCTGCAAGTGCATGTGCATGTGATGTGAAAGCAAGAATCAGATTAGATGCATGCATATGCATGTGTTAATAAATAAAATAATAGTAATAGTTTTAGTATGGGGTGAGTACTAGACAGTCACGCGAGATCGACCGGCCCATCGATCTCCCATGCATGCATGCAAGCTTGTGTTCTCTCTCCCTACTTGTCAACTTGTGTGTCTGTATATATTATATTATGTACTATTATTATAACTAATTATATATATGCTACTATAATTGCATCTGTGTACCCTACTGATCAATAAGCAAGAACTTGATACTGCTCCATCCGTCCCAAGTAAATCAATTCTTATAATCGATGTAGGTCAAACTATCTTTAGTTTGACTAATAATAACTTTATAGAAAAGAGTAACAAGAACTATGATATAAAATGAGCATATTATGAAAATATATTATATGGTATCTCTAATTATACTAATTCGATGTCATAAATTTTAAAGGGATTTTCTAGAAATTCGGTCAAAGTTTAAAAGATTTGACTTAGAAAACTTTAGGAATCTATTTATTCAGGACAAAGAGAGTACTAGCTAATGCATATCTACGACGACCTCTTTGTTTTCCAAGCAGTGAGTGTAGAAACACGAATAATTTTTTTAATGGGCTGCGTCACATAATTTACATATAAAGAGGATAAAGAGAGAGAAAAAATTGGTCCGTTTTTTTACGGAGCAAGTCTCACAAAAACCTTGCAACTAGAGGTTTATTGGACAGAGATGATAAATCTGTGAAAACATTACGAACTGACCCTAGCTCACTTGATTGTGCGTGTGAAACTGTGAAAAATACTCCGAGACGACCCAATAAGTTAAGTCCTCGAGGCGATTTTCTTTTCAAATAAAAACACTGTAATGAGTATTGTTTTATAAGTGTTATATCTAGATACATAGAAAAATTGATGTACCAAAAAATTCAATGCGACTTATAATTTGGAATGGAGGAAAAACCTTATATCCGATATTCATCAAGAAAAACAATTGATAGTGCAAAAGACGTTTAGAAAAAAAAAGTATTTTGAAAATATCGCCGGCTGACAAGTAAACTGCACAAAGCATTGCCTCTCTGGGCCGGAGGTGCGCACGGTACGACCCAACTACGGCCTGAGGAAGTGAGGCGCCGAACAGAGCCCGGCCCAAAAGGCCCACGGCTCTAACCCGTCGGTGGCATCCACCAGAACAGAGCCCACCGGCGGCGGCAACTCGCTCCGCGGCGGTTCCCAGCCTTCCCTCGCGCTCTCCGTCCTTCCACTTCCATCTCGCTCGCTTCCATTCCATGCCACCGCCCTCGGAACTTCGGAAGTCCGAACCCTCCCACCGCCGCGTGCTTTCCGGATTGTTGTGCTCGCGGAGTCGCGTCCTCGGCACGACGGCACCGGCCTCCGATCCGCACCCCGCGAAGCCTCCGCAGCGCCCCCGGCGTAGCCACGACCATCGCCGTCTCGCCGAGGCCCGCCCGGTGATCCGATCGGGCCAGCGCTTGGGGACGCCGTCTCCCTCCGATTGAAGCAAGCGGAAGCGGGGATCGGTTTGTTCACTTTGTTGCCGGGCGTCGTCCTCCTTGTCCAAGCAGGTGAGTTCCGCATCCCGCATCGTCCATACCCGCCTTTTAATTTCTCTGGGAGCATTAGCTAAGGTCATTGCATCGCATCCTTCATTGTCTGAGACTCTGAGGCGTGGTTGCTATGGGCTTATTTGTTGTTTTTTACGGGAATACGGCTGCTCCTTCGAGGTCTTTCCTTCCTGCTGAATGCTGATGCTGGTTCATGTGTTGATTCGTCAGCTTGGTGACTTGCGGTGCCTGGTTTATTCATGATACTCAGGTACCGATTGGCTTGTTTCAACTAGGAATCCAGCTAAAAAACTGGAGCATGACCGCGCGGTTGCTTTTGCAGGATAGTGTGCCAACCAGGTCATCAGGACATCTTGGATCCTAGGCTCGAGCATTATTATTATCTGAATCCTGGTCACAACAATATTCATTGAACTGTGGTCTGTCCCGTGAGAACTGAGAAGTCACTAGTTTGAGATTAGGCAAGTTTTCAAACTAGGGCACTTCTCTAATTATTTGCAGAATCAAGTGTGTCGTGTGCATATGGCTTCGGCCAAACACTGCATTTCTAATTTGTTGCTACATGTATCAATACCTAGGCCCTAGTGAATAGAGAAGTCTATCCCGGTACTGGTTTAGGAATGATAATTTATTCAGTCTAGAAATTTTATATGAAATTCATAATCGGAAAGGATTTTTAGTTGTGAGCCATGGTATTCGCATCATAAGTTCACAGTTCTTTTTTTTAGGGAATTTAGGAATGCTTCTTTATTTGATAGAGAAATGTTATAGAATTTTTTTTGTAACACGGAACAGACCTGATTCCTAATTCCTTTATGGATCCTCTTATATCAATGATTGTAGCATAAATGATTGACAAATAGATTTCATTTACTTATATATGAGAGTGTATAAGTAATTGTGGGGGTTGATAACAGACTCTTGCGTGATTAATTTCTTATTTAGTTTATGATTTGTCTCACATGGTACAGTGCAATTATGTTTGGATGACGACCATTAAACTTGTAATACATATTATTTGTTGCATGGTGTGTACTTGGGCTAGCGCTTTACACCCCTCCCCCCATGATACTTTGCAGGCTTCATTTTTTCCGTTTTGCCTTATCGTTTCTCTCTGTATTGACATTAAATGTTTTAATTCTTGAACTATTATTGATGGTTTTCTGAGCTTACTTGCACATCAAATTGTTCTTTCTGTCTCATTGGTACTTACTTATGTCAAGGATAAACTTATATGGTATTAGTTGGTTGTGAGGATGTAAGCCTTATGAGGTTGCATCATCTATATATTCTTATATGCCTGTAAGTTACATATATATTTAGTTACTGTGCACAAGAAACTGTCTTACATCGATTTTTAAGAAGAGTCCTGTTTTAACCTTGAAGGCTTACATCCTCACATCCTCATAAGTTGGGGCGACTAGGACGCTATCATGCATTCAATGCAGATGATCCTAATCTTTCTATTTAACCTCTCAGATGAGTATATTCCCCTTGACTGCTCTACTCGATTTCTCTTTTATAATCGTGTGATGTGCGTGCAGTTTCTTAGGCACGCACTTAGACACTTAGATGTTTATATTCTGTTAATTGTCTCTAAATACAAAGGGGGATAGTATAAACCTCTCTAACAATTCACTAATAAGACAGGAAAAATACTTATGCTGGATTGTTTAATATGTTGATCTCTTTCTAGATCTAAAACTAAAACGTCTTGTTTATCACCTATCTTATTATTTATTATATAGGTATCTTTGTCAACTGCATTGCTTTTTATTGTGAGTCGTTACTACTCCTACAGTCCTACTTCCACTGATTGGTGTCGTCAACGGTTGTGTCAAAGTAGGCAAGACGCTACCTCGCTGTCTATACATTTTTTCTGGCAAATATGATTGCAGTATATCTTGGTAAGTTGTTATCGCCATTTTCTTGGATGGTGGCCCTTTGATCTTTTATTTTTGTCATAGGATTCTGAGTTCACAATGCATTTCCATATTCATGGTAGACTTACCTAGGTTATGTATTCACTAACAAAAATTTATCACATGTCATCATGACACTAGTATTTGAAGAGGATCACCTATGACCCATGTATAATGAACTTGTAATAGTAGCGAGAATAAAGTTAAAACAACAATATGATAGTATAGACTATCCTTTCACGAACCTAAGCCAGTATTAACTGATGAATTATTGGAGGGACAAATATCAAATTTTTCTTCAAATATACGGTGGAATCTTGCTTACACAAGAGGAGTTTACCAAACATAGGGAGTGCCTAGCCCCCCTTCCCCCTCCCTCCCTCCGCCCCTCATCACTTCATCTCTAGCCCACTTCAACTTTCTTTGTTTTTTTTCTCAAACCGTGTTAATATAGAAATAACAACCTAAGTACAAGCAGGTGTCACCGCATATAGGTTAGGTTTTTTTATAACATGTGTGTCCTTGTAGAACATTATAGTATTATCCAACGATCTAACCCAAAAGCTTTCATAGGCCTTAACGTCAGCCACATCACCCAAAGGATTGTCTGCTCGTGGATCTCCTACAATACTATCGGGTCAATCTAGGTGATTAGGATCACCAGTGAGTTGACACCTTTGCGCTTGGGTATCTGTGTGCCCTATGCCACTACTCACAGAATCATGCCTCGCCACCAAGTTCTGCAGGCCCGCTCTACCGACCACTGATGTCCAATCCTGGCGGGCGAACACATAGGACATGAGAAGTTAGGTTCACAGTGTGGGAGCACTTCCATTACCAAGCTTCCCACTCCGCCGGGGTGTTGAGCATGGCAACATGCAACTGGTTCCAGAGAATGCTTAAGGCCGGCGCCACGTACGGCTCGTTGCCATGACCTCGGTCTGCCACCACTGTCGGGCCACCGCTGGGCTGTCCCCCATGAATGATCAACTACTCCACTACTCTATGGTCACCACCGATTAGGAGTTCCGGGGTTGCCATAGGCACGGATCTAGTGGTGGGGCGGAGGGCTCAAGCCCCAATACCGTCGCTGATCTCATGGAGCCCCTAGAGCCTCTCCAATAATTTTTGTCATGACTACTTTGAGGAGAAAAGCTATAGGTTTAAGATGAAATTTTAGCCAACTAGACTATCATCCTAGATCCGTCCCTCGGTCGCTGGTGAGAACTCTT